TTGGCTAACAAAAACACATGAAATGAATCATTCTTCACCAGGACTGCCTCATAGACTTGAACCCTTTCCTCAGTGAGTGTTAGTGAGGAAGGCATGTGCAGTTTACTATTGCCCCTGCTAGCTAGCTGAGTTTTTTTATTGTCCCTCTTAATTTTCCTATGGTTTTGTCATTTCCTGATAATATCAGAATATTGCCATGGACTGGCAGGATAAAAGTACTATCGTTTTGCTTCAGGCACATGACTTACCTAGCAAAGAGTTTACAAAAATGCACCATTATGGTCTGTTCCTGCCCTGCTGCCCAACCTGGGGTAGGGAAGGGCATGAATGAGACATAAAAGCTGCTGTTTCAGTTCCCAGCCTGTTTTGCCCTTACTTTCTGGGAAGTGAACTGCCTTCCTCCAAATCTCTCCTCCTTCCTCTCCTCTCTCTTTGTAACGAGGGGGTTGATTACTGGTTTTGAGAAGCTGAAAGTGACATCAACCCCCCGCCCAGCTGTTGCAGTTTCAGGGCTCCAGGCGAAACGGCATTTGTTTGGCTCCTAGAGAAGTCATCCCAGCGATCGCCTGGAGAGTCTGGCTGCGAGTGAAATCCATATGCAATGCTTCTGTCAGCAAAGACTTGCTGAAAGAGAGTTTATAATAAATATTCACATCTGCTACTTTGGACACTCTAATCCATCGTACAGATCTTTGCTGTGTCAGGCTTTGTTCTAGATGAAGAAGCCAGGTAGTTGTAAAGGTTTGCAAATAGGGCATATTTATCATGGTTAGCTCTACTTTCTAGTTCCCTTTCTTGCACAAATATCCGTGACCACTCTAAGCATAACTCGTGATTAAATATTCTCAATGCATTTGTTAGATGTTTTAAACCATGTGTTTCCTGTGATAAATGGAGAAAATGGCAGTTGTTTACTGCCCAGGTTGTCAAATGAAGCCATCAGATCTCAATGAGCAGGGTGGAGAACATCATTGTTATGAATTAGTTTGTTGAACTTGCTCCTAATAGAAGAAGGTGTTTGACCAAGACCATGACTGGCAGTGCAAAGATCCCATGGTTGGGAGCACCACACTGGGTTTGAAATTAATATATTGGACCTCTTTCTTTTTGTGTACATGAAACTCATTATCAGTATAGTTGATTTTTAAAAGGGACAGTCTTTATCTGGTAGGTGGATAAGTAAAAGGTGCTTCAGACATATCACCAGCTGTTACCTCTGCTTTTATTTAAGCAGGAAGAAAATAAACTTATGAACACATTCTGCCTTCTGAAAACTGAATCAGTTTGGTTCATAAACAAACACATGGAAACTGGGAACTCCTTAGACTATTTTTTAGGTTTTCTTTTATTTTTTTTCTACTGTTAGACTGAATTCTATACTAACAATTTAATTATGGTTGTTTTATTTTTGATAAGAACATAGAGGGAGAAAGGCACTCGGTTCAGTCAGATGCCTGACCTCCTTCGTATTCAGGTGGAAATTTGCCTCTTCATTTGTGCAGAGTTGTACAAGAAAAGCAGCATTAAGAACATAGTCTGATGCTGATTACCTTGGGTACCAGAATTAGCATCTCCTTCAGTGCTCAGGCAGAATCTGGCCCTGAACAGTTGTTTCCAAACACCAGCATCATAGCTGTGTTCCTCATGAGTAGCATGCCAGGCTCTCCAGATTTGCTTACTCACTCCAAAACCCAATCTCATTATTGATCTGTTCAACTTTCTGATAATTTATCTCAGAAAACAGGAGAATGCAAAATGTGGGGGGTCTTTAAAGCAGTGATCCTCCAACTTCCAGCACCGCACTCTTGCTTGTCCCTCTGCAAACCTCGATGGCTTTCCTCTGAATTCCAGGTTGTATCCTGGCTCTGGATCTGGTTGGGGTTCTGCAAGTGGAGTTTGGGCAGCTCTCCAGCCTGTGGGGCCACGCTGGCGAGGTGCAGGGCGCTCTCCTCCATCCCAAGGCAGAGCAGCTGCTTTTCTGGGGGTGCCACTGTACAGTTCGTCTCTGGACCTAAGGAGCAGTTTAACACAACCTTAATCTCCAGGCGTTACAGCAAAAAGTGGTTTGACAGCCCAGCAGGCGGGGCTTAGGGAAGTGTTTTCATCGTTAAATGTTTGCAGTGGGCAAAATCGCCCCAAATTAATATCGTTCTGCGTTTTATCCAAACAGGAGCCCAAATTGCTCCTTCTTTTGAGACTGTGTTTTTCCGAACATCAAGGCGTCTCTCTCTTTTGGTGCTTTTCTGGAGAAATAGCTTTACAATGACGCCTAATGACAGAGCAGCCGAATTGCAAGGAGATGGATTTTTCATGGCACGCAGACAGAAAGCGCTGGGAGCCCCTTCCCCGCTGCCAGCCCCTGGGGGGGAGACGTGAAGTTAGAACCATGCAGCAAGGGGGAATTTCTCCCTGCAGCAAAAGCTCCGGAGGCCGCCGGGGAATGAGCCGGGGTCCAGGCGAGATGCGGGGCGGGGACCAACAAACCCCGC